CTGTGAAAATTTTTCTCACTGGCATTCAAGACAGTAAGTAATTTAAGTTGTAAGAGTATATATATTTTCCCCGTGAAATTCAATAAATGTCTTTTTCAATCCACATGCAGCCTCTAAATGTTTTTTTTTTTATTCCAGACTCAATTTTTCTACAAAAACAGTTAGATTATCACTAATCCAAACATGATGAGGAAAAGAAAAATGAATCCAGGTCATCTTTATTAAAAAAAAAAAACAACAAAAAACCCCCCAAATTTCCGTATTTGGCTGCACTCCAAATCAACTAATTCACACAGATGAATCTCTGTTTTAACTGGCACTGTTCTTCTGGTTAAAGGTGTAGTTTTGTTCAAAAGAGTATCAATATCGCAAGATTGTTTTAGTCCAGAAGAAATACAGCAAGAGCTGAAGGAAGCCCACCAAGAAGGTTTATCAGAAACACAAGTAAAGATTTCTTTGACTTTGTCTCTTCAACATAACTATTAGGTTACAGCAAAACACAATGGTGTAATTTCTAGAAATGCATATGAATATTTAAATATTTAACCAAAAAGTCACAAAACAACTGAAAAAAAAGAAAGAAAATATGGCAGCCAGTGCCCTTGTTTATGGAGTTCAAGGCTACCAAGAGATCTGGTTCATCTTCACGGGGCTGTCAGTGCTTTGTATGGGATTTTTTCATCTACAATGTGCTCATGAAAGGAGACTTGTTGAAAAGAATAAAAGAGTTTGCTGAATTTATGACTATCCTCTGATCATCTTTGCCCCTCTCTAGCAATGACCGTAGTTGTGTTCTGAGAAATGAAATAATCATTCCACAATGTGGTATATCCTATAATTTCAACAGTTCAACCATCGAATTCGATTGATCAAGGCTCAACCAGTAAATTATTTGCAAAAGAAAAAGATGGCAGGAGATGACAGATTTCTGATGCTATGGTTACTCTGGCTAGATTTTCTTAAAGTAATAGTACTAGGAAAAGAAATCTTGGGCATAAAAATAATTAGAAACTCAAAGAAAAAGGTCACATATACAGAGATGGAGAATAAAAATGGTTAGATTTGTCAGGCTTGGGGGGGAGGAAATGGGGAGATGTAGGTCAAAGGTTACAAAGTAGCAGATACGTAGGATGAATGAGTCTAAAGTTCTAATGTAGAACATGAGAACTATAGTTAATAATAGTGTATTGTAGTCAGGATTTTTGCTAAATGAGGAGATTATAGCTGCTCCTGCCAGCAAGGGAAAATGGGTAACTATGTGAGATGATGAATGTATTATTTTGTTCTACTATAGTAACCATTATACTATATATATACATATATGTGTATATGTATCTTATAGCATCATACCATATACCTGAAATATACAAAATAAAATTTATCTTAAAAAATAGCAACTCTTAGCCGGATGTGGTGGCACACACCTGTAGTCCCAGCTATTTGAGAGGCTGAAGAGGGTGGAGGGAGGATTGACTGAGCCTAGAAGTTTGAGTCTAGCCTGGGCAGCATAGTGAGACCTCTGTCTCTACAAAAAAAAAAAAAAAAAAAAGCACTACTGAGTAATATTTCAGTCTAAACAAAAATGCTTCTGCAAGGCCGGGCGTGGTGGCTCACACCTGTAATCCTAGCACTCTGGGAAGCTGAGGCAGGAGGATCGCTCAAGGTCAGGAGTTCAAGACCAGCCTGAGCAAGACTGAGGCCCTGTCTCTACTAAAAATACAAAGAAATTAATTGGCCAACTAAAAATATATAGAAAAAATGAGCTGGGCATGGTGGTGCATGCCTGTAGTCCCAGCTACTTGGGAGGCTGAGGCGGAAGGATTGCTTGAGCCCAAGAGTTTGAGGTTGCTGTAAGCTAGGCTGACGCCACGGCACTCACTCTAGCCTGGGCAACAAAGCGAAACTCTGTCTCAAAAAAAAAAAAAAAAAAAAAAATGTTTCTGCAATTCTCTTCTTCCAATTTGATATTCATTTTTTCTTTTCGAAATGATTCTTAAATACAGTTGCCATTGCCCACCTCCATCTTTGCTTTTTCCTTCTGTATCACCACACTTTCCTCACTGCTCATCCAGATCCATCCATCTTTTATAAACTAGCTCAAATTCCACCTCCTCCTTGAAATCTTTTCAGACTAATTCAGTTCCCAAAAATCTTACTTGCTGACTTTACTGCCATGCATTTGCTAAGTCGTAAATCTTGCCTTTCTCAATCAGGCAATTCTGCTATTCGGAACATTGCATAAATGCTTATATATCACATCTCTCAGTCTACTCTTGGCATCTTGCAAACTGGAAGCATCTTTTCTAAGCTTCTTAAAGCAGAAACTTTCAGATTTTTTGGACTATGATGCACAAATGAGATATACATTTTACATCCCAGTCTGGTAGGCAGGTACATATAAATATATATTCAATCAAGAAGTTCCATGAACAATACTTACTCTTCTGTTTTCCTCTATTTTACTTTTCAAAATTAAAAATGCTGACAACACCCACTAAACTGACTTCACAGTGGATTCATTTGAAAAGTACAGTTCCAGAAGGACACTTATTGATTACTTATGGATTACTGTAAATACTTCTCTCATTTAAAAAATAATATAAAAATATTCTGTGGACTTTGGGCTGTTGTTAGCCCGTGTTCCTGAGTTCCTTGTTTGTTCATTTAGTTTTTCACACCATCAGATGTCTGTTTGCCTTTTGGAGTCATCTGGGGCAATTAAGTGCTTAGAATATATAATATTTTCCATCCTTTTTCCCTGAGCACTGTTGTTCTACAAATAAGTTTCTCTGCATTTTTATAACTCATTTCTATAAAACTCAAATCTCTAGTTCCTCATTCTGCCTCTTTTATTTTCGTAATATGCGGAGTAGGTGGTGGACATTTCATGGATAAAATAACTTAGGCTCAGAGAAAGGATGACTTTCTTATGGGGTCTTTTCTGCTTTAAGCAGGCTTTTGCAAATTATGGTAAATATGGTTTCTTCAAAGATACTTGAAGGATGTGAGCTTGGGTGATACGAACAACATAGAGCCTCAATCTGAATGCATTCACCAGATGCATTCCGAATAATCCGTAACAACTTCTCCAGATCAAATGGTGGACTGCCCAGATGAATTAGCTCTTCTGGACTTCAGTTTGTGGGTGGATCCTGCTCCAATCTGCAACCTCCTCTTTCTACCTTTATGTACTGACATTGGTTTTCAACCACCCAGAGCTACTTGTTTTCCTCAGGCTCTGCAAATTGAGTGCCTATGCCAGCAATGCCCTTCCCTCTCCTCTTCCCCAAGCTAGCTCCTCTCATCCTTCAAGTCCATGGGCAACTTTCCTTGTGCTGCCACACCTGGCCTCCATAGAACCCGGCCATCGCACTTCACTAGCTGTTCCTGGCAGTGTCTATCTCGAGTTTTGCAGGCTGAGACTGTGTCTTGCTCCTTCTCCTAGTCCCCAGTCTTGGATCGTGTCCAATTCAGAATAAACATATGCGGAATGCATGAATGAACGAGTGAATGAATGAATGGATGGATGGATGAACGAATGAGTGCAGAAAGGGCAGAAGCAGCTGCCACCGAAAGAGCTCAAGTGTGAGCTGGGACTAGAACCATGTGTCCTCACTCTCTGAGGCCGATATCTCATGAGTTTGTGATTCCATGACAAATATTTCAGTACTTCCCCGGAGGCTGCAGATTTGGGGGACTGGAAATTCCAAACAGGGAAGGATGGCTGGATCTTAATATAGTCTCTTAAGTCTATTCGAGGCATAATTAAGAAAATGTTGCAGGAACAAATAATTAAGCATATTAGGCAAGTCTTTGGAGGCAATTAAAGCACTCAAATCTCAAAACAGCTTGCTGGAACCCACCCCACCCTCTAGTTGACACTGATCTGATTCATGTGACACTTCAGTCCCCCACACTTCCCATACGAAAGCTGATGCACTTGCGATTTTGTCCTAATTATTTTCATGAAAGTCAAGTTGGAGATTAGGCGAAGCCTTCCCACACCAGAACACACTGTACATGGCTCCCCACGAGTTGATCTGCTGTTTCCAAAACAAATTCCAGTGATACAACATATAACTTGCAATAGCAAATAACTACCTTTTCATTTCTGTTTATGAAGCAACAACTGATTCCCCCTACTAAACACACACAAAAAACTTGCAAAACGAAATGCACCAAAAAAAAAAAAAACACCTTGAGAAAAACGTTCTCCGTGCTTCTATTTCAAAAGAACATTCTCTAACGCAAAGTCCTGTCTTTTGCAGATAGCAACAGAGAAGATTTTCTGCTTTGTGCTGTGACTCATATATCTTTATTCCCACAATTGTTACTCAGGGCAGGCCACTGGCGAGCACAAAGGGAAAGGAAGAATAGTTTATAACTGGAAAATAAGCACGTTCGAGAGAAGTACACTCAAAGCATTATCAAAGTAAAATATGCAGCAGCACCAACAAGAGCAAACAAAAGCCCACGCAAGAGATGTGTAAATATTTCATGAAGCTAAGCCTTAATCAACTCTCTCTCTCTCTCCCAAATCTTGCTGAGGTTGTAAACACTTCAGTTCCTTCTAGTCCCACCAGTGACCCAGATTCCTTGCAAAACCAAAATGAAAACATGGTCCCCTAATGGATCTTTAACAAATGTGTTGGGGAAAATATTTAGATGGAACAAATCCAAGTACGGCTCTCACAGCGGGAGGAAGACACCTTGATAAAAAAAAGGTGGCTGCTTCTGGACTGAGAGCTCCACTTCTCCCCTCCCCCTCCCAGCCCTTCCCTGTGTCCATCTCGCCTGCCTTCTGGACAGCCACATCGTCTTAACCTTGAACCACCTACACCCCAAGCCTGGATTTCTCCCAGTGTCCCTCCGGAAGGCCCTTTGAATCTAACCTGGACCTGCTACCCTCCCAGCACCAGAACTCACTTACCAGTGTTTATTAAGTGGCCCTCCCGCCCCCCTCGTTCCCTGTCCATTGTCGTGTCTGCAGTCTTGCCTACCTCCTTTCCATCTGCCTGGGTAGCGTGGCGACCGGCTGCGCTATTTGATTGACAGTCTTCGGGCGTTTTCTACAAACCCATCTCCAAAGAGCCCTGTGTCTCCTCTAGCCTCCAGCCTGGCCCAGTGTGGTTCCAAAGTTCACCTCTACCACCGAACAGGTCTCTACGGTGGTGATTTCCTTCTAGCAACCTCTACCCGTCCTTCCTCGTCTTTCTGCCTCCCGCAAGAAAAACTATATGCATGCAGGTGTCTATGTGTGTGTGTGTGTGTGTGTGTGTGTGTATACACACGCACGCATATAAATGCACACGCATTATATATGACTATAGTGTTTTCATCTTAAAGGGAAGAAGCATAAGAAAAAGATAAAAATGTCAAACACAGACATACACACGCGCGCGCGCGCACACACACACACACACACACCTATCCGGATATTCGCAGAGGGTGTAGACCCTACTGGGTAATAAGGTGGATTATCAATGCCCGCAGCCCTCCCACCTCCGCCCCCCCCCCAAAGGCAGGCAGGCAAGCGTCTTTCTCTCCTTTTACCTTCAAAGCCGGAGCCTAAAGGAGCGATGACCTTGCAGAGCGCGGAGCACCTGCGGGAGGGACGGGCGGCCCCACCTGGCGCGCAGGACGGGGCGGGGACCGGAGGAGCAACAGGCAAAGGATCCTCGGGCACGACGCGGGACCCGAGCGGTCCCCTACCTCTCGCCACGCTCAGACCCGCCCCCTACCCCAGCAGGCTGGAGGTGGCGCGCGTGGAGGGGGGTGGGGTGCGGAGGGGGGCGTCGCCTACCTGCGGTCGCCAGGCTGTCCCCACCGCCTGCGCTGTGGCCGGGGCTTCCCGTCGCGCATCGCGGGCGCGGGCTGTCCCCTGGGCGCCACGCCGCTGGCTCCCGCCGGCCCGCGCCCCGCGGGGTCCCCCCGGGCGAGCCCGGCGCGGTCGGGAGGCGAAACCACCGTGCGGAGAGCAGAGGCGGCGCGCGGCTGCGGGCGGGCACCCCCCACCGGGCGCGGGGACTGTCCCCGCCGCCGCCGCCGCAGGGCTGCAAGCCGCCGCCGGGCGCAGGGCCACGGTGCGGGCGACCCGGCCCGCGCGCGCGGAGCAGAGAGGCGGCAGCTGCAGCGACAGCAGCAGCGACAGCAGCAACCACGGCGGCGGCGGCGGCGACAGCAGGACGCCAAGCCCCGCCCCCTCCGACCCTCCCCCTCCCCCGCCTCCCGGTCCCAGGGAGAAAGTGAGGCAGTGCCCGGCGGGGGGGAGCCGGGTGGCGGCCGGCCGGGTCGTGCCCCTGCTGCTTGGGGCCCAGCGGCAGGTGGGAAGCTCAGAAGGGATGGGGGCAGAGGCTGGGGGCCCGGCGGGGACTCTGGCCCTGGCCTCCTCCTCCTCCCCCCACAGGTCACCCGGCTCCCCCCGCTGAGCCCAGACTCGGGCAGGCGCACGGTTTCCAGCGGAGCCACGTGCAGGGAGGAGCTGGAAACGAGGAGGTCGCCCCGTGTTTCATTGTGCGTTGCAAAGCGTGCAGTGTCCCGCGTGTCTGCAGATGGCGCTGCTGGCGGTGTTCGCGCCCCCCAACCCCCTCCCACCCTCCTGGGCTTGGGTGGCTTTGGAAATCATCCCCGCCGAGCTACTGCTCCACTGAATGGGGAGTGTGTCGTGGGGTCAGCAGCCCATGTAGATGGTGCAAAATGACACAAAAAGAAATGTTATTAACCGAGTATCTGTCGGCAGGCTCTGATTGATAGCTACTTCCTGGAGGTGGGTTAAGAAGGATTCTGAGGTTGTGTCTTGGCTCTTGGGCAGTCAACTAGTGATGTTCATTTGGGCTGATGGAGAGAAGGTTGTGACAAGGGAGCTGCTGGGTGGCCTCCCCGCCCTTCCCCCCACCAGGGCACTCCTAAAACAATATCTTAATGACAGGAGTGGTTATGGCATTATGTGGCCAGAGTGCTAAGGACAGATGCCTTTATTCCAGTTGTCCCTCTCCGGGAGGAAACGTTAAGCCAAAGTTTTACACCTAACATTCGCATGCCATGAAGCACTTTACAAAGTGCCCATGTGAATAACCCTATCTGTCTCCATGACAACACAGAGAGGCAGGTATAATTTGACTTTACAGGAAAGGAAACTGAGGTAGAGTGATCTTCCTGAGATTGCACAATTAATCTACCTGTGGTAGGGGCTGGATGGCGACAGATCTCTAGTCTAGGGCTGTTTTTACTATATTACTGTATTCATTTCCTATTGCTGCTACAGCAAATTGCCACCGACTTAATGCAATGCAAATGTATTGATGTTATCTTACCGTTCTGCAGACTTCTGAGTCTGGAAATGGGTCTTTGGGGGCTAAAATCAAAAGGCTAGCAGGGGCTGCGCATTCCTCCTGGGGACTCTGAGGGGACAGGCTGCTTCTTGCTTGTCCTTCCCAGATGTTAGAAGCTGCCTGCATTCCTTGGCTTGTGGCCACATCACTCCAACCTCTACTTCTTTCATCTCCTCTTCTCCGACTCTGACCTTCCTGCATCCCTCTTAGGAGGACCCTTCTGATGACAGTGGGTCTACCTGGATAATCTAGAATAATCTCCCCATCTCGGTGTTCTCACCTTAATTGCATCTGCCAAGTCCCTTTTGCCATGTAAGTAACATGTTCTTAGGTCCCTGGGATTAGTATTTAGATATCGTATTATAGGAGGGCCATTATTCTGCCTATCAAAACCACAGTTAGTGTTTATTCTACAATTTCTACTATACCTTATTCACCCTTCACTCTTGCTTGAGTGTCAGACTTCTGGAAAGTTCTTTCAATTTAAAAATTCACAGGACAGTTATTCAAGAGACAATAATGACAAATGAGTACCGGCAAGAAATACCCCAAAGTCACGAAAAGGTCATGAAGAAGGCCTGCAAGATTCAGAGCTGTTTTTGGACTCATTAACACTGGAAAGGAAATGCAAGCTTCTTATCAAGGAGATTTTATTGGCTACTCCATATAAATGAACAGACTCCGCACTTACCTCCCATATTTTCTTCTCTCTCTCTGTGTGTCTCTGTCTCTATCTCTCTCTCTTTATTTTAAAGAGATTTATTCTGAGCCAAATTTGAGGACCATGACCCGGAGCCACTCCCAAGAAGCCTTGGGCAAGTGGACTCATTGTGGTTGGGTTACAGTTTGATTTTATTCATTTCAGGGAGACAAGGGTTACAGGTAAAATCATAAATCAATACGTGGGAGGCAGACATTGGTTTGGCCCAAAAAGATGGGCCACCTCGAACACATTTTCTATGCTTCTTACACTGGTTCATGTTTTTCTGTTGGACTTATTAGTATATCTTGATATACTATACATTTGTTTATTGCATGCCTACTTTCTGTTATATGAGGTCTCTCTCTCTTTTTTTTTATAGCTATATCTCTGTTGCCTAAAATGATCTCCAATGCTTCTTAAGTTCTCATTAAATACTTGTTGAATGAATCGTGATCCCCAATTTATAAATTAGGGAACCAAAACTCCAGATGTTTAAGTTACCTTTACACTATCCCACAGCTATGGAGTGGCTTTACCAAGACGAAAACCCAATGTCCAGCCCCTTGCTTTTTTCATAGTGTGTTTCCCTTCCAAGTGAAAGTGGTTACTGGTGTTTGAATGGGGTCAGCAATGTATTTTAAAAATATAAGAATATGAGACCAGAAGCTTCTGTAAATGTCACATCTTTCCTAAAAAACCCCATCGGTTCAACAGGATTGGCAGGAAGAATTGGCAGGACGAAGTGAGCAACAGAGGATTCTGGAGGGCTGCCATTGGTTACTTGGCATTGAGTAATACTGTAAGTTGCTTCCCAATTGTTCTCAAGTTCATTTCGTGTCTTCGTGTCTTGACGCCCTGTATTCTAGGGTCTTTGGGCTCAGGGACCACAACTTCGATTTCTTTAGTATCCCTGCATTCCGTCCAGTTCTGGGCTCAAAATAGACTTGTCGCTGCCTGGTTACGAGATGGCTGCCATCTCTGTGAAAATCTTTGCACACCACGCTCAAGGCAGGAAGAAAAAAAAAAAAAATCCCAGCGGAAAAGGGAGCTTCTATTTCATTTTTTTTCATGGAGGAAAAGATATTTCCCAGAGCCCATTGTCCCATCCCCAAGTCACAGAATTCAGTCACCTGATTCCCGTGGAAGTAAGCACCTAACGTGGGGGGAATGGGCTTGCATTGTTTTTCTAGGCGAGACATCTTGCTGCCTAGAAAGAAACTGAGGTCGTGTTGGGAAGGGAGAGAGGAAGTAAGTAGCCTGTGGGATCATCCCATAGCAGTGTGTTTTGCAAAGAATGAGTGGAAGAATACCAGAGATTCACAGTGAGGTCCATTTTGATGCTACCAGAGTGAATGTGAATTGCTGGGAGACCATGACAAGCAGGTAAATCAGGCTTCTGCTTATTTCCCTCCCTTTCTCCTTCCCTCCCTTCCCTTCCTCCTTCCCTCTTCCTTTATCCCCTCTTCTTTCTTTCCTTCTTCTCCCTCCCTTCCCACCCCTCTCTCTTTGATACTAAATGGCCTTCTCCAGTGTCATCTGTTGATATTCCATTGTATGCTTAATCAATGCCCTACTGTCAATGTTTGGATCTCTCTGTCTGGAATGCTCTTCAGTAAGCTAGGTTTATCCAACGGATGGGATGATAGACACTCAAATGACTACTGGTTCCTCCTGCCTCATCTTGTGCTGCGCTTCCTGCCCACGCTTCCATTCCTGCAATAGAAGCTTCTAGAACGCCACTAGTGTTTTGTTCCATAACATCATGAATTTGTTTTTATTTGTTCCCCCACCTCACCCCCTTCCTGAAATGCCCTTTCCTTATGATAGTCACTTGTGTTAGTCAGGGTCCTCCAGCAAAACGGAACCAATAGGAGAGGCAGATAGACAGACAGAAATTTATTATGAGGGCCTGGCCTGGCTCACACCGTCAGGGAGGCTGAGAAGTTCCACGATCTGCCATCTACAAGCTAGAGGCCCAGCAAAGCTGACACCGTTCTCCCGTCCAAACCCGAAGGTCCAAGAAACCAGGAGTATGGGCGTGCAAAGGCAGGAGAAATGGGTGTGGCCATGAACTTGCGGGCATGTGGTGGCCTCGGCTGCAGCCACTTTCCATTGCCACCGCTTAGATTTCCTTAGATTTCTTCTGCTGTCCTGTTCCAAGAAGAAAAGCAGGCATGGTCAGAGGTGGGGAAGAAGAAAGATACAGTTATTTATTTGACAGCACAGAAGTTGCACCACTTCCTTCATAAATAAAAGATTATATGACAAAAGGACTTGAATAGGGAAGAATTTGGTTCATTAATAAATTCACCTCAAAATTTGCATGGCTTGCATGCAGTCATCATTTTCTGGGTGCAAACATGCAGATAGGATAT